CGCAGGAAATTATGATGACGCTTGTCCAGCCAGAATATTTGATGACGGTAGATCGCTTATAAACATTGACTGAGTTACCCAGAAACATATTTTTTCACCAAATTATATGATAAAACAATGAAAAAATGAATCTTCTCGTTTTTTATGAACGTACAGTTAGCATAAAAACGAGTCACGGAATGAAATGTGTAATAGTCTAATTGTTTTCTCAAGTCAGTAGTAATCATTTTTTCAATTTTATTTACAAAATACATTTTTGAAATTTAGTACCCACTGCGATTCCTGCACTAACAATTAGCAATCTAGAATATTGAACCAATCTTACGAATAATACATTTTTTTGAGGCGCAAGGCGCGTTTGCCGTTGTAGTGAGGATGTAGTTAGCGCTTACGCACAGGACCTCGACTGTCCTCTCCGTAGTAGAGAGGATGTAGGTAGCCCGCACGCACTAGACCTCGACTGCCCTCTCCCTGTCTCTTATACACATCTAGATGTGTATAAGAGCATCAGAGCGGAATTCAGCTTATGCTATCAGAGCGGCATGCAGCTCATGCCATCAGAGTGGCATGCAGCTCAAGCCATCAGAGCGGAATTCAGCTCATGCCATCAGCGAGGCATGCAGCTCATGTCATCAGAGCGGCATGCAGCTCATGCCATCAGCGAATCATGCAGCTCATTTCATCAGAGCAGCGTGCAGCTGCTTAATAGTAGGGTAAATACAATAGTAAGAAGGAGGGTAAATGCAATAGTGAATAGGAGGGTAAATACAATAGTAAGTAAGAAGGTATATGCAATGGTAAGTAGAAGGGTAAATGAAATAGTAAGTGGGATGGTAAATACAATAGTAAGTTGGAGGGTAAATACAATAGTAAGTAAGAGGGTAAATACAACGGTAAATAGGAGGATAATTACTGTAGTATGTAGGAGGGTAAATACAATAGTAACTAGGAAGGTAAATACAGCAGTAAGTTGTAAGGTAAAGACAATAGTAAGTAGGAGGGTAAATGCAATAGTAAGTAGGAGAGTGAATACAATAGTAAGCAGGAGGGTAAATGCAATAGTAAGTCACAGGGTAGATACAATAGTGAATAGGAAGGTAAATAAAACAGTAAGTAGGAGGTTAAATACAATGGTAGGTAGGAGGGCAAATACAATGGCAAGTAGGAGGGTATTAAAATCACTTGACTGCTTAAATCGCAAGTTTACCAAAAATTTAAAAGCAAAGAAAATAGCCAGAAAATTCACCATTTCTTAAAAAGGAATCGCGTACTGCTGAATGAGGGGGATGCGCAAGCAGGTTTCCTGTTCTAAAACTCCTTCCTTTATGCTCCGCCAGCCTAGTATAAAAGTTGCGAGATGTCATACCGACATACGCCGATGCGCATAGCGCACAACTATATTGATAAACTAGGGACGATCGCATAGGATCGTCCCTATGCGTCCCTGCAAGTAGGAGGGTAAATACAATGATAAGTAGGAGGATAAATAAAACTGTAAGTAGGAGGGTAAATACAGTATTAAAAAGGTGGGCGAAAATAATGGTTAATAGAAGGGTAAATACAAAGGTGAATAGGAGAGTAAATACAATAGTAAGTAAGAGGGTATATGCAATAGTAAGTAGAAGGGTAAATGAAATAGCAAGTGGGGCAATATGCCCTCCTATCATATATTTATGCCCTCCCTATCAATGTCATATATGCCCTCCTACTTACTATTGTATTTACATACAATAGTAAGTAGGAGGGCATATATGATAGTAAATAGGAGGGTAAATACAGTGGTAAGTAGGAGGGTAAATACATTGATAAGCAGGGGTAAATACAGTAGTAAAAAGGAGGGTATAAACAATGGTAATTATGAGGGTAAAAACAAAAGCAAGTAGGAGGGTAAAGGCAGCAGTAAGGAGGAGGGTAAGGTAAGTAAGTAGTAAGTACAATTGTAAGTAGTGGAGTATATACAATAGGAGAGTAAATAGAGTAAATAGGAGGAGAGTAAATACAATAGTAAGTGGGAGGGTAACTGCAATAGTAAGTTGGAAGGTAAGTACAATAGCAAGTAATGGGGTAAAACCAATGGTAAGTAGGAGGGCAAATACAATAGTAAGTAGGAGGATAAATACAATAGTAAGTACGAGGGTAAATACAATGGTAAGAAGGAGGGTAAATACAATAGTAAGTAAGTGCGTATATGCAATGGTATGCAGGAGGGTAAATTCAATAGTAAGTAGGAGGGTAAATACAACAGTCAGTTGCAGTTACCCTTCTACACACAATAGTAAGTAAAAGGGTAAATACAATATTAAGTTTGTGGGTAAATACAATAGCAAGTAAGAGGTTAAATACAATGGCAAGTAGGAGGGTAAATAAAACGGTAAGTAAGGGGTAAATATAATAGAAAGTTGGAGGGTAAATACAATTGTGAGTGAAGGGTAAATACTAAAGTAAGTACATTGGTATATATGTAATATAGTAAGTATTAGTGCATATACCACATTGAGTAGAAGGGTAAACAAACATAATAATTATGAAGGTATATACATCATTAAGTAGGACGGTAATTACAGTAGTAAGTAGGAGGGTAAATACAATAGTAAGTAGGAGGGTAATTATAATAGTAAATAGGAGGGTAAATGCAATTGCATGCAGGAGGGAAAATTCAATAGTAAGTTGGAGGTTAAATACAATAGTAAGTAGGATGGTAAATACAATTGTAAGGGGGAGGGTAAATACAATAGTAGGTAGGAGGGTAAATACAATAATAAGTAGGAAGGTAAATAAAACAGTAAGTAAGAGGGTAAATACACTGGTAGATGGTAGGGCAAATGCAATGGCAAGTAGGGGGTAATACAATAGTAATTAACAGGGTAAATACAATAATAAGTAGGAGGGTAAATACAAAATTAAGTAGGAGGGCAAAAATAATGGTAAATAGGAGGGTAAATACAATTGTAAGTAGGAGGGTAAAAACAATGGTAAGTAGGAGGGTAAATGCAATAGGAAGTAGGAGGGTAATTTAATAATAAGTATTAAAGCAAATATAATAGTAAATATGAGGGTAAATACATTGGTAAGCAGGAGGGTAAATACAATGATAGGTATGGGGTAAATGCTATAGTAAGTAGGGGGTGAATGCAATAGTAAGTAGGAGGGTAAAGTAGGAGGGTAATAAAGGTAATTAGGAGGACAAATACAATAGTAATTTGGAGGGTAAATGCAACAGTAAGTAGGAGGGTAAGTACAATGGTAAGTAGTAGGGTATATACAATAGTAAGTAGGAGGGTTAATACAATGTTAAGTTGGAGGATAAATTCAATGACTGTAGGAGGGTAAATTCAATAGCAAGTAGGAGGGTAATTGCAACAGTAAGTAGGAGGGCGAAAACAATGGTAAGTAGGAGGGTAAATGCAATGACATGTAGGAAGGTAAATTCAATAGCAAGTAGGTGACTAAATACAATACTAAGTAGGAGAGTATACGCAATAGTAAGTAGGAGCGTAAGTTCAATAGAAAGGAATGGGGTGAAGACAACGGTAAGTAGGAAGGCAAATACATTAGTAAGTAGGAGGGTAAATGCAATAGTAGGTAGGAGGGAAAATACAATGGTAAGTAGGAGGGAAAATACATAAGTAAGTAGGATGGAAAATAAAATAGTAAGTAGTAGGGTAAATACAATGATATGTAGTAGGATAAATACAAAAGTACGTAGGAGGGTAAATGCAACAGTAAGTAGGAGGGTAAATACAATAGTAAGCAGGAGGGCAAATACAAACGTAAGTAGGAGGGTAAATACAATAGTAAGTTTGAGGGTAAATACAATAGTAAGTAAGAAGGTAAATATAATGGAAAGTAGGAGGGTAAATACAACGGAAAGTAGGAGGGTAAATACAATAGTGAGTGAATGGTAAATACAATTGTAAGTACAAGGGTATATATGTGATATAGTAAGTAGAAGTGTAAATACAACATTAAGTAGGAGGTTAAATAGAGTAGTAAGTAGGAAGTTAATTACAATTGAAAGTAGGAGGGTAATTATAATAGTAAATAGGAGGGCAAATGAAATTGCATGCAGTAGGGTAAATGCAATAGTAAGTAGGAGAGTAAATACAATAGTAAGTGGAGGGTAAATACAATAGTAAGTTGGAGGGTAAATGCAATAGTACGTAGGAGGTGTAGGAGCAGCAGTGTGGCGTGGAGAGAGTGGTAAGTAAGAGGGGGATGGGGGAGGCCGAGGAAAGGAGGGGAAGAAACATATTATATGAAGCGGGATAATTGATAACATGATTTGACACTCGGCAATACGGAGATGGCATTAATTATATAAAACGTGTAAATCAATGCGAGTTTGATATATTCATTCAAGAGACTCGGTGGATGTCATCAACTCAATGCTTTCGGCCTCAGACTCCACTGTTATTGAAATATTTTTAAATGCTGGCGTTGCGAGGCCAGCGATTCCGTTGAGTTAAGCCATGGCATATGCCATGAGCTGCTCACTGCTCATGGCTGACAGCTTTGTGCTGCCCACTGCTCATGGCTGAGAGCATTAATTGTGCAACTCACTGCTCATATATGGGAAAGGAATTCATTTCACTGCCCATGGCTGAGACCATTATGCAGCTCACTGCTCATGACTATGAACATTATGCCTCTCACTGCTCATGGCTGGAACATTATGCAGCTCAATGCTCATGACTGGGAACTTTATGCAGCTCAATGCGCATGACTGGGAACTTTATGCAGCTCAATGCGCATGACTGGGAACTTTATGCAGCTCAATGCGCATGACTGGGAACTTTATGCAGCTCACTGCTCATGGCTAGGAGCTTTATGCAACTCATTGATCATGGCTGGGAGATTTATGCAACTCACTGCTTATGGCTGGGAGATTTATGCAACTCACTGATCTTGGCTGGGAGATTTATGCAACTCACTGCTCATGGCTGGGAGATTTATGCTACTCTCTGCTCAATGCGCGGAGGTGGAGCAGGTTATACATATACTCACCTACTCATTCCCTCCTTAGGGACTCCCAGGATGCTGTTGAGGGCCTCGGCGCTCTCTTCTCCGACTCTTGATGAAATGATGCGCTGAACGATATAATTACCAGCAAACATTTCCTGCTCACTCTTGTGCCTGAACTCATAGCTTGAACTCCTGTTCAATCCCCGAGGTTTGTTCTCCTTCAGCACCACTGAGAGCACTACTGCAGGATCGACCTTCTTAATCTTCTTAATCTTCTCCTTGATGACGAAATGGTCTGCCTCCGTCAAAATCAAGACGTCTTCTCTAAGCTGCTCCAGCGCAGCCTCACCGACGACATTAAGTATATTATAAATCAGGACTTCCACATCCACATTAAACGAACCCGCAAGCTGGGTTTGTATGAGTTCCTTGTACAGGCGCAGCTTGACTGGCGCCACGTCCCTGGGCGTCCGCCACGAGGATATTTCCTTAGGGAAGAGCTTATGCATCTCACAGAAATGAACCAAGTTGATGGGCTCCGTAAACAAACTTCTGACATCTTCACTGAGCGACTCGAAGCTTCCCGTCATCGCCCCAGTCTGACTGTCGCCGCTCAAGGCCTCTTCATATCGCCTCAGGAATGCACGTTGGTCCTCAGGCTTCGTGAGCGGCAAGATCTCGTAATAAGCATAACTGACATCGTTGCGTCGCAGCAGCGGCGCCAGTTCCCTCTTTACGGCATGAGAATGAGTCGTGATCAAGACACGACAGTTGGGGCGCCACGTTTTCTCGATAATCTCGTTAACGACTCTTTTGGAACTTTCTTTTCCTTCATCGAAGCCATCGATGATGAATAAGACATCGAGGCGCAGGAGAGCCATGAGGACATTTTCTTTCCCATGTTCAATGCACTGGTCTTCGTAGTGCTGCAGGATGACGTCACTCAGTGTTGTTGTGGTGCGATCCCTGCAGTCGAAGAAGATGAGTTGGTTAAATGACCTCAAGTAATCAGGAGCTGTTTGTTGCGTGTTGAAGAATTGCAGCACAATGTTTTTGGCGAGGGTTGTCTTACCGGCGCCGGCGACGCCCGTTACCACCATAACATTCTCGCGAGCCTCAAATATTTTGGTGTAGGAAACAATTTTCCCTCCGCTGGTTTCTCGCACATTCACGTCGATGGCATGGAACACGGCCTGACGTTGCACCGCATCCTCATTCAACGAAAGTTTTTCATATTTAAACTTGTCCTGCCAGAGAAGTCTTACGGCTTGTTTTCCGCTAAATTCCAACCTCGTACACCAGTAATAAATGCTCTGGCTGTCCATTATTTTCAATTTTGCAATTTCGTTGTTAAGCTCTTGAACCTCGGCATCAACATCTGCCTGGGGAAGAGCATAGAACCTCCCCGTTTCCCGCACCAGCTCCACCAGCGCTGCTGTCAACTCAGTGAATTTCTGTGAACCGGCGGCGTTGTGCAAGTCGTGCATGACTGTGTTGCGCAGGTACTTGACGGTGCGCAACTTGGCGAGCAGCGCTGCAGGATCTCTGGCGGTGCCCTCGTAGCGAAGATCAAGAAGTTTTGTGAGGAGAAGAAAGAGCGGTGTAACATCTAACGTGTCGGGATTCTTTGAAGTTTCTAATTTTTTTGATGAAAATCCAATTAGATTTTTCCACTCTCCGTTAGTGTAGGCACGTCCACGCCTCCGTTCCATCAGTTCCCTGTAGGTCTCGTCGCTTATTTTGTCGTCACACTCCTTGTCTAGCGTGAACCGCATGACCCTGGGGCTCAGGTCCAAGTTACCGACAATGTTGCGGTAAATTCTAATGATTGTGTCGTCGGCAATCGAGCCTGCGCTGGTCATCTTGCAGGATCTGTTGAGGCGAGAAATTATTTGTGAATATAAATACGAACCTCATGCAAATATTATTAGTCAGACAGGCTTAGTTGTAAAATTACTTCATGCACACAAAGCATTCTACTGAATTTTAACTAATATCGGTTCTTTACGCAAGTAAATGACTTTTGGAATGCATATAAAAGATAAATAGAAAATCTTATTAGGTGTGAATATTTGAACTGATCACCTGGAAAATGGAATATTGAACGTATAACTTTTGGATAATAGAATAATCGAACGTAATTTTGGTCGAAAACGGAATATTGTTGCTAAGTTTTTAGAGATGCAGGGATCTGTAATGCTGTAACCAAGGGGAAAAATGGTGTAATAAAGCAGACATTAATGAAGTGCTGTATTCACGACCTGCGCCAGGGCCACTTCTCAGACATCACAGCGCACGTGTTACTCACACCACCTGCACCACGTCTAGCACATCACAGCGCTCGTGTGTTACTCACACCACCTGCACCACGTCTAGCACATCACAGCGCGTGTGTTACTCACGTGGTCGGCGCTGCAGTTCAAGAGTTGGCGGTCGCGGCTTCGGAGTTCAAATCATTAAAAATGAAAGTTTTGATGCGCGCGTCACTCACCACACAACATAAACAATCACTGCAGCACAAAGTTGTGGTTCTTGTCGCCTGATAAATGTTCCTTCTCACGCCTGAAATTATATTGCTAGATTAAATGCTTCAATTAGAAATACAGGGTCCGCCATATTCACGGAGACGCATGTTCTTCTTATTTCTCAATGAAGCAAATTAATTTTTTATTGGATGAGCTGATAGCCAAGAACTACCTGAACAATTTTCAAACGTTTTATTTCAATATGACCACCATGAACTAGCTGACCGTCATGAGCGAATGAGGCTCAAAAGATTCCAGCATATTCAGAATCACGTTGAGGATGGCATGCAGGCCAATTTGATGTTCATTGACGAGAAGAAATTTGACATGGAACAAAGCGTTAACCGTTAAAATTACAGAGTTTGGAGTCTGAATGAATCTGTGGCAACCAGAACAGTAACGGGACGTTTCAATCCCATGTCCGTGATGGTTTAGGCCGCGGTAACAGCCACTGGGAGGTCTCCACACGTTTCTGTCCACTCACGCAAGAGTGAAATTGAACAGTCAGCGATACATTTCGGACATTTCGGAAGCTGAGTTGTTACTTTGGGGCCGTGAACACTTTAACGATTCACCATTTAGTTTTCAACAAGACTCTGCCCCATCACATGGTTCAAACTTGACCCAAAACTTGATTTAGGATCATACACCAGCGTTCATTAGCAAAAATCAATGGCCCTCAAGAAGCCCTGAGTTGAATAGAATTTTCTGTGCGGGCTATTATAGCGAGTAGGGTCTGCAAAATACCTCATGATTCTTATAGTTTGAAGTCTAAATTGAAATGAAAATGGGACTTGATCCCTTAAGAAATGCAGCGAGTCTCCCGTGGAGCTTCCCACCGTAGGTTGGAGGTCGTCATTAAAAATAAGGGCGGTCATATTGGATAAATACCTTGGAGAATTGTTTAGGTAGTTCTTGGCTATTAGCTCATCCAATAGAAACATTAATTTCGTCTGTTTTTTTCATTGAGAAATAAGGAAAACATGCGTTGCTATAAATATGGTGGACCCTGTATTGATGAGGGGCGTGCAGGATGCCACATCCGCGGCCAGCAGATAGCGGGGCAGCTGACCGCCGCCATCCTGCCCTGCATGATGACGTGCTAGCCGCGGTGCAAGTGATGCGTTAGATGACATGATGCTGGAGGATGACACGAGGCTGGAGGATGACCATGATGCTGAAGGATGAAATGATGCTGTAGTATGACTCCAGCCACCACCCTTGCTCGGTGGTTCGCCTCCTGTGGCGCAAGGGGGACTCGCCCGGGGCCAGCAGCTGGGGGCGGAGGGCAATGTGCCAGGGGGCGGGGGGCAATGTGGGGTCAAGCCGCAAGGGGAGATGCCCAAAACCCTCTCGCTCACAAAAGAGGAAGATGGGACTAGCCGCCCCGGACCCCTCTTTAAAAACTTTCGAGGCGAGGGTCCCTCAGGGGCCCGCATCAGTGCCTGCCGGACGGTGGCGAGCCTTTTTGGACAGGCTGGCAGCAGCCCTTAGGGTGATTTGACTTCGGTCCATTCACCCGCACCCCGGGCCGAGGAACTGGAGGGGGCGGAGGGGGTTGGGAGAGAGGCGAAGAGAAGAGAGGAGGGAAAGGCGTCACGAGGGTCGGAGGAGGAGGAGGAGGAGAGATCGAGAGAGAGAGGATGAGGTTGTGGATGGGAGGCAAAGGAGTGAGAGAGTGATTGTGACGTGGAATGTGGAGAGATTTTCTATGAGAGAGCATAACAGGAGGTGTTTGAGGAGAGTGATAGAGAAGATTGTGAGGAAAGGGTGGGAGATTACTTTGTTGAGTGAAATAAATGCGGATGATGAGGGTGTGTTGTGGCTGGGAGAGGATGAGGAGATAGTGGCGGTGGTACATGGGAAGAAGTCGGCTGTGGTTTTGAGGGGTGAGGCGTTAGAGGTGTGGGTGAGAGAGGGACAGAAGAGATGGTTTGAGGAGAGAGTGACTGCTGTGGTGTTGGGAGGGTTGCGTCTGGTATCTGTCGATCAGCCAGTGTGGGGAACGAATGATAACGGTATGGAGAGGTACAGAAGAGCGGTTGAGAATCAAGTGGCATGTGGTGGAAGTGAGAAATTGATTATAGGGGGAGATTTCAACTCGAATGTGGGTAGAGGGAATGAAAGGGAAGGGGGCGTGTGGAAGGTATGGCATTGGAAATATGAATGAGGCAGGAAGGGATCTGATTGATTGGTGTGGGGAGCATGAGTTGGAGTACGTGAACAGCTACATGAGGTATAAAAGGAGAGGGACGTGGTTTAATGTGAGGTATGGCAGAAGGTACGAGTTGGATGGTTTTGTGATGAGGAAGAGTGATAGGTGGTGGATGGTAAGAAAGATGAGGACGGATGGAGAATACGAGTTGTCGGACCATAAGCCAGTAGTGATGACTGTGAGAGTGAAGGGGAGAAGATGGAGAGTGCCAGGAGGGAATACGAGAAGAGTCCCAAGGATAAAGTGGGAGGTGTTGAAAGAAAGGGAGAAGAGGGAGGAACACAAGGTGCAAACGAATGAGAGGATGACTGAGGCGGCGAAAGAAGTATGTGGAGTATGTGAGAAGGGGGTTCAGAATCCTTGGACAATTGAGTATGAAGATGAGCTAAATGCGTTGAATGAGAGAGTGAGTGCGGCGGGGCGTTTGAGAAATGAAAGGGTGCAACTGGTGGGGAATAGGAGGAGGCTGAGGCAGAGGAGAGATGGCAGACTGATGGAGAGGCTGGAGAGAGAGGTGGCTGGAGCGAGAGAGGAGGTGAAGCAGGTGAGGAGAGCTTTGCGAAGACGGTTGAGGCGGCTTGAACGAGAGTGGTGGGAGTATAAGATTAGGGAGTGTGAGGAAGCGTGTGCGACAGGGAGAGTGGGTGACATGTAAAGTGTTTGAGGAAGATTGGCACGAGGGGATGTAAGGCAGGAGCGAGTACGAATATTTGTGTGAATGAATTTAAGGAGCATTTGAACGAGTGACGTGCGAGAGGTATGAAGAGGAGCCGAGAGTGATAGAACGGGCGGTAAATGGTGCGACTGACCTGCGAGAGTGTGAAAGAGCGAAAGAGGCAAATGATCGACTGAATGAAGTGTCTGAAAGAGAATAGATTTTAGCGGCTATGAAAGATATGAAAGAGTTGGCGCCTGGGGAAGATGGAGTGAGGATTGGATATATTAAGTGGGCGGATGAGGGAGTGAGAGACAGAGTGATTGAGCTGGTGAGAGAAATGTTTGTGAAGAGAGCGGATGCTTGGGATGAATCTTTGAAAGTAGGCGTTATGATTCCGTTGTACAAGAAGGGTGATAGAAATGACTGTAACAACTATAGGGGGTATGCCTGTTGAGTATGAGGAGCAGAATACTTGCGAGGGTGATAGCGAAGAGAGTGGCATGGTGGGCTGAGTATTTGCGGTTGTTGGATGAGGAGCAGGCAGGTTTTCGAAAGGGTAGGTCGACAGCGGATGTGGTGCAAATGATGGTTCGTATGCAAGAAGACGTGGTTGATGTGACGAGAAGAATGGAACTGAATGAGAATGGGGGCATGAACGAAGAGGAGTGGCTTGTGGCGAGACTGCTGGATTTGAGAAAAGCGTATCCGAGAGTGAACAAACCGGGTTTGTGGAGGTTGCTTGAGACGTATGGAATGAAAGGGAGATGTCTGGATACGATTGTGGATTTGCATGAGTCGACTGTGTACAATGTGAGAGGGAAGGAGGGAGTGAGTGAAAGCTGGGTGCCTGCGAGAGGTCTGCGAGAGGGGTGTTCCACGTCACCCATCTTGTTTAATGTGTACCATCAGGCGGTTATGAGGCAAGCGGAGGTGGCGAGAAGAAGCGGGGGTGAAGAGGTTGGGGTGACGTGGAGATGGGTGCCAGGGGGATCGTTTGCTGGAGAGAGTGCATGGGAGAAGGGGAGTAGTGAGTGTGTGAGAGTGAGAGTGTCCATGGCTTTGTTTGCGGATGACACTACGATTGTGGGTGTGAAGAGTGAGATTGAGAATGGTGTGAGAGCAGTGAAAGAAGTGATGAATCAGTGGGAGGAACAAAACAATGAGGAGAAAGAGGAGGTGCTTGAGTTTGGGACAGAAGAGGGGGTGAAATCAGAGTACTTGAGATCTGGGTGAGTGCAGAAGTGGATGTGAATAACAGGATCAAGAGAGCTGGAAGTTTGTGGTGGAGAGTGAAAGGGTGGCTGAAAGGGTCGAGAATGTCTAAGAAGTGTCAGGCGAGGGTGGTGGAGGCATGTGTGGAGAGTAGTCTGCTGTATGATTGTCAGGCGAGAGTGTGGTATGTAAAGGATATGAATCGGTTGCAAAAGTGGATGGATAAGTGCTATAGTTACGTGTGGAGTGATCGGAATGGCCAGCCTCTGAGGCAAATGCAAGCGAGAGGAGTGAACATGTGGGATGTGAGGAAGTGTTTGAGTGTAAAGAGTGTGAGATGGAAGATTGAGAAGCGTGTGTTGGAGCGAGTGGGACATGTTATGAGGATGGGAAATGAGGCTGACGAAAGCGATGGTGCTAGGATGGTATGAGAGGTTGGAAGGTTTCGGGAAGATGAAAGGGCGTAAGAGGAAGACTGTCTTGTATTGGAAGAGTATGTTGAAGGAAGCGGGAGTGGACTGGACGGATGTGGAGCGGCTGAGCAGAGATAGGGATGGATGGAAGGGCATGGTGAAAGAACGCATGGAGCATTTGTATGAGTGGCAATGTCAGAAAGGGCATGAGTACGCTTGGGATGCAAATTTGGCGAGACTGGATAGGAATGTTAGAACCAGGAATTTAAAAGCAAAGAAAATACCACAAAA